CCACTGTGATTGGACGGCTGGGTAAAAAGTGACAGTGATGAGCGCTGCGCTTTAACCAAAGTTGAACATTTTTTCACTCCCAGCGACCAGTAAAAAACGCTGGGCGCTCGGCGCTTCAGCGTGAAAAAAACGCTCAGCGCCTCGGTACGCTCATGCCGTTTAAAAAATTGAAAAACAATTGAAAAACATACGCCAGGCGCATGGAAAAACGCTTTGGTGGACACACGACCTTAGTCCTGTCAAACGATTAAAATATTTAATCGTGATTAATCGCATTCATGTCAGTTAACTCGCGATTAATCACACATTTTTATCTATTCTAAATGTCTCTTGATTTACTTTTATTCCATTATTTTTTCTAATTTGAATGCTCTTATCAACATGGAAAAGTGGATCGGCTTGCTTTGTGCAAATGTTTTTTTATTGAAAACAACATTGATATACTGTGGTCAATTTCACACTAAAACATTTTCACTTGGAGCAAATAATCTTGCACACAATGTAACACTGTCCATCAATAAAAGGGTGAAAGAAATACTGACGAGGTCCTGAAATTGATGAAGGGGCGGAGAATTCGCATCAGCTGTGTGTGTGTGTGTGTGTACTTGGCCATCAGGTGGTATTTCAGAGTGACGTGCTGTTGCGATGATGGCCTCAGTTCAAAATGTCAAAAACTGCGACGAAGCAACAAAACGTCCTCGCGCGGCGCAAGCAATTGAAATGAACGGGTTTCATTGCACAGCGCCGCGTATGCCACGTCCTGTTGCAAAAGCATGTGGAAAAAAACTACAAAGTTTGCTAGGCCAAAAAGACTGTTAATCTCACGATAAATAAATGAATCGCGTTAAAATGGGTTTGCGTTAACGCCGTTAATAACGCGTTTTATCCATACAATAGAAGTAAAAAATGTTCCAATGCTGTTTGATTGCTAACATACTTCAAAATACCTCCTGTTGTGTCCCACAAACATTAAACAGGTTTGGAATGGCATGAGGGTGATTGATAATGAATTTTCATTTTTGGGTGAACTATCCCTTTAAGAAAAACCTTTTTTTCCCCTTGTTTTACATATGATACTATTCCAAATTAATTTTCAAAGATGGATAAAATTCACACAAAAAAATAGTTTGAACGTTATATAAAGGTGAATGTAAGCACCAGGCTGTGTGCCCAAGTGTAGCTTGGCTGTGGCTCAGAATTTGTTTTCACATCACTAGGTTTGATCTAAATCCTCTGTAATAGTCTGGGAGAGGTTTCTGGCAGCTGCGTGTCATCGGTCTCAAGAAACAGCAGTTATTACTGTCTTCATCAGGGTCCCAACATCCATCCAAACCTGGCTCTCAAGACAAATCAATCTGGCAGCAAATTAAGCATGCGGATTATTAATCTAATAACAGCCCTTTCAGGAAAATTACAATGTGGACTTGTCGAGGCAACAACGGACCCTATGAACTGAAAGTGGTGCGATGGGCAGTTTCTCAGATTCAAATTTTGCCCGACATCTACTTTAGAGACTACTTACTTGAATTACAGTAGATGAATTGACATGAAATGTCATGTTCAAATATACAGACATCTCTTGGTTTGATGAATATCTCATTCACTTACCAGTAAGTCTTTCCCTTTGAAACTGCACTCGTCTCTCTTTCTCTGTGGTGTGCTCCATGTTAACTGAAAAAGTGAAAATCGCAAGCTGACTGAATTGAGCAGTTTCAGCAGCTATAGTGCTGCATTTACAGACACATCATGTATTAACAAGCACATTTGCATTGAGTGGGCCAACAGTGTGTCACCTTGGCTGTAACGTATCCTTTCTGTTATATTATGTTCAAAATGAATCAAGCAAAATATTTCCAGTGAACTGTAAAAGTCTATTTATGACTTAAAAAAGTTCATTTGTTGCAAAGTATGATGTCAAAATACAATAAGGAGGAAGTGGAACAACTGGTAAAGTAGGACACTTGCACTGAATGAAAAAGGACACAAAAACCCAATAAAAGTATGAGTGATCTTTATGACACGATATCTATGTGTGATGATTGGATTGAAATTCAATCCATTATTCATTGATAATCAATGTCATTAATGTAACAAAATTGAACAACATAGTATGGCATTGATGTACCGATATTTTTTTTTAAATATACCAATGACAAATGATCAGAAAGTGACCCATTTTACCTGCGTTCACACTTATGTGTGTGCCAAAAATGAAAATTGTCATCATTTACTCACCCTCAAGTTGTTCCAACCTTGACCTTGAGTTTCTTTCTTCTGCTGAACACAAAAGAAGATATTTTGAAGAATGTCGGTAACCAGACAGTTGATGGTAGCCATTGACTTGCATAGTAAGGGAAGTCATAGTACCGTAACCTATCTGGTTACCGACATTCTTCAAAAATATCTTCTTTTGTGTTCAGCAGAATAAAGTCATATAGGTTTGGAACAATATAAAGGTGAGTAAATGATGACAGAATTTTCATTATTGGGTGAACTATCCTTTAATTGATGCGTAGATTCAACATCAATGATATTCTACTCTCATTTGAACCTTAAATGATTAATTCCCATATTACAGACTGATGCACACGCTTATAAATTCTCCAAAATGCAACACACAGACATACTCACATTACGCTGCAGCTGTGTTCTGCTGATATCGGTGATATTGAGTGCGAAGAGAGTCTCTCGAGCGCCAACGTAAAGCATGTTATCCTCTTTACTGAGGAGCAGAGAGGTGTAATTGAAGACTCCATTGGGTGAAAATCTCTTGGCCGACCTCTCGTTTGCATCTATGAGTAGATATGGAAAAAAAGAGAGGGGAGAGGGTGGAATGTCAGAAAACCCAGCCAATAAGATTTACTACTGGAAATAAGATAAATGTGCAAAAGTCAGAAATGTGATTGTGCTTTTCAGCTGGTTTCAACTGATATTGTCTTGTGAAAAGAAACCCAATAATCTATATGTTTTATTTACAACTGTGAAAAATCTAAAAGACTGTAAAAATGCAACAGTAAAAACCTGTTAATTGGTTAAAGTGATAAGTAAGTTTCCCTAAGTAAAAACTGTAATAGATTATTATTATCTATTATAATAGATCATTTTACGGTAAAAAAAAACCAAATGATCTAATAATTCACAATGAAAAGCTGTAAACTGAAATTCCTAGATCTTCATATTTGATGTTTTTTTTTCATTTGTATTAATGTTTGTTCTTAGTTTGTATATATATATATATATATATTAGTCATGTATATTAGTGTTTTATATAGTTTATATAGTTTTTTGTATGTGTGCATGACACAATTTAACTTCTATATTTTACCTCAGCTTGTGGAAAACCTAAAGGTTATGATTTTTGATTTATTATGGTTTTCTCTTTACCATCAGTGTTAGGATGGTGGATGCCAGTATATGTTATAAGTTAAAAACTGATTTTAGTAGCAATTTGATTCACTGGTTTGATATATATATATATATATATATATAGTTTAAAACTGTAAAATTTAGAGTAGTTCTGTAGGTTTACATTTTTACTGCATTTTTACAGAATTATTACGGCCACCACAGCTTGTTCTGTAAAATCGATTGATTATTTTTGTATACGGTTTTAATATTATCGTACAAAAATGCCATAAAATAAAACACTAAAATACATAATATAATATTACGATAAAAAAAAATATATATATATATTCCTTGCGAGTTAACTAATATTTTATGTAGTCTAGGTATTTTCTTATACTTTGCATATCTTTTAAATCATGATTAATATTAATATTTTAATTAGGGTATTTGTTATTTAAATATATATATATATATTTACTTACAATTATTTATTTATTTAATTTCCACCCTCCTGAACAAACCTTAGATTCACCTTTAGTTCATGACGTACCCATTACGAAACTCTGCTTTAGGGTATTAGACAATAACGTCAAATGTTTATTGGCTGGCAGTGAGAAAACTAAAACCTGTTGCAACAGCAGTGTCTGAATCACTGTGAGCATTTGTGTGTGGCCACATATAGCTCAGAGCCAGATGTTCATCTCTTAATCAAAGATATTGCACAGCATCATTATCATGGCAGCTCCTGCAGGCTGTTTCTCTGTTCCCGTGACAACGGCATCAATAAAAAGTAGTATATTTCCTACCAGTAGGGGGTGTTTGAAAAGAGGGTTAGTGGCACTGTGATTGGCTCAAACCCCCTTCAGAATGCCAAATCATACTTTTGCATGGCTTTTTCAGTGATTCAGAATGTGTGTGAAATGAAATGTGTGAAAACAGTCTTTCATCTCGTCTCTCCATAGGCTGTCATAACCAAGCACTCTCATGCTGCAATGACATCATTCCAAGATACCAGCTTCTCAGGTCTTAAGATGCATGTCGAATCAATGTCAACAGGCTGTAAATACAACCTTCAGCACTGCATGGCAAACACAGTGTTCTCCTCATCTGTCATTGGCTTAAAGCTTGAATCAGACTGGTCTTTCAATCCAAGATACACAGAAAGGAGACCCAAAAAAAAAAAAAAAGTTATTATGCTTAAATTTGAACTGTATTTTTTCCCCCACTTTAATGAAGATTTCCTGATTACCCAAGCAACCGCCTAGCAACACCATAGCAACCACCCAGAATACCCTAGCAACACCCTAGCAACCACCAGAATACCCTAGCAACCACCCAGAACACCCTAGCAAGCACACAGATTACCCAAGCAACTGCCTAGCAACCACCCAGAACACCCTAGCAACCGCCTAGGCACACCATAGCAACCACCCAGAACACCCTAGCAACATCTAAACAACATGAATAAGCCATATCTCAGCATCAGAATATCGTACAGATATGGTTTTTGGCATGTATGCAATCATGCACACCACCATAGCAACCGGGTGGTGAGTTTTGCCACTGCGAGCACCACTTCACATTTTCTTCTGGAAATGTACATTCTAATTGCTTATTACTAACTTATTGGCTGTTTATAAGTAGTTATTAAGCACATTATAAATGTCTTATTCTCCATTCCTTAATTCTACCCCATACCTAAACTTAACCACTACACAATAACTACCTAACAACAACAATTGCTAACTATTAATACACATTAAATTAGGAGTTTATTGAGGCAAAAGTCTTAGTTAATAGTGAATATGTGTTCCCCAAAATAAAGTGTGCCCGGAAAAGCAAATCAAGCGCAAGCATAGTGTTCACCACTATCATATAAAATACAAGGTTACTATGTGAAGAGTTCAGATGCAAAAGCCTCTAAATGCCATTTGAAATTTTCTTCTTTAATGATGATTTTTATCAAACTTGTATATTTAAGTTCAGTAATTTCACTTAAATAACAATTAATAGGTATATTTAAGTGAAATTACTGAACTTAAATATATAAGTTTGATAAAAATCATCATTAAAGAAGAAAATTTCAAATGGCATTTAGAGGCTTTTGCATCTGAACTCTTCATGTATAAATGCTGTAGCCTTCATGGCATACAACCTGTGCTGTCGATTTACATAATTTAAAGAATCCTAGAAATCCATCCACTCCTGGTAGGTCTTACTTGGAGAGCAAGTAATGATTACACTGAATATGAATGTGTTCCCGTGGGTGACTTTGGGCTGAGGTAAGACTCTAAAAGCGTCCGTGTCTCTGGGAGCTGCTGCAGAAGGTCTGCGCTCACTTCCTTAGTCCCGGGGGAGACAATGCGGTAATAATAGGGCATCAGCCCTCAACCAGAAGGGCTTATTACCACTGAATCCAGTCTGCTAAACCGCAGGAGGGGATCAACACGGCACATTAGTGGCACGCTAGTGGGGTCTCGGCCTCCGTGTGTCTCGTGTTTCCCCTCTCTCTGATTACAGGATGAAACAGGGCACCACTCAGCACTGGCAGCGTTCATTTCAGAGGGTTTGGGGAGAAATTTAATGGCGATTTAGTGAGACAAGGACAAAGGGCAATATGTGCAACCAAACAGGGCTTAAGTGGGATTTGCACAGACAGAAAGCGTTCCCTCGATTATCCTCCAGAGTGGCACAGCTGTAACGCTTCTCCTTGCAGCTCACACAATGAGGCAAATAATTGAGTTCCCATCAGGGAAAAATCACACATGTGAATGTTTTACTGAACACTTCACTGTAAAATCGACATGATTATAGTGAGTGCTGGTTCAGCTATTAAGTATATTGTAAATATATATATAATTTATATTTAAATTAAATATAATAAGTTTAATTATGTTTTACCTGCCATTTCTTTGTAATTATTTGTAAAAAAATACTAGGAATTATCTCAGTAAAAAATTTATACACAATACACACACACACACACACACACACACACATATATATATATATATAGTATACGTTTTTTTCTGCCACAGAAAAAAAAAAACAATTTAAAAGATAATTGCGACTTTTTATCTCGCAATTCAGATTTTTTATGCAAGTCATAATGCGAGTTATAAAGTCAGAATTGCGGGTTAAAGACATGGAGGCGGAAACAAGCCTCCATAATACACACATTTATAGGAAATCACAAATTGATATCTAAATATTAGTGCTGTCAAATAGATTAATCACATCTATACACACACACACACACACATATATTTACAAACTTTTGTTAGATGCGATTAATTTGACAGCACTACTAAATACTAAAGCTTTAATCTTAGAGTAACTAAACCCTAAACCAACTTTTTTTAGTTAATGATCTGTAAGAATGGATCTTTATTAATACCAGTCATTGATTCGAGTAACTTTTTTGACATTTGTGTATAAAGTGTTTTATTTCTAAAATATATGGTGTAAAAACGTCTTAGTGCTGCCCTCTTCAGGTTGAACGGTGGCTACTGCAGTTGAATTTTCCTATTGGATGTTCCGCACTTCGTGACGTATGCAGGTTTCAGCTCACCGTGCTCTTGGTACGAGCTACGCCCTTGGCAGTATAAAAAACAGCTTGTTTCGTCAAAACCAGTCAGGAGTTGGAATCGCGAGTTTTGAAAACGATCAGGATAGAGTGTTTTAGCATCTATTTCGTCCCCTCTATCTCCACTGGGGTCTGCCCATTTTTTCAGCATTTTTCAAATATTGCCAGTGGGTGGAGTCAGGCTCTGACCAGGGGTTTAGCTACCCTTTAAAGTATTTAATATTTATATTATATTAATATTTGTTTTATTATATCCAGCATTCGCATACAATCATATGATCTGATGAACTCCACAGAGCTCCCGTACTACTACATAAATGAATGACTTCCAGTTAATTCCCACCGAGAAAAAGTCGGCTTAAATATGATCAAGTGTAAAAGTAATGCAAGCACCAGTTATTTACAATTAGTATTGTCTTAGTCATTGTATGTTGTGTTAAAGGAATTTCATGGTGCAACACAAGCTGTATAAACACCTGCCCACGTCCAGCACTAATTAAATGCAGACCATTTCAAATAAGAAAGATCTTTGGCAATATTGGACTGTTTTAGTTTTTGTGTTGAGTGCTTGCACGTTAAGTTCAAGATGTCTGCCTGTAACCACTTATGTGGTTTTAAAAGGGTGCAATTGCGAAACGCAAAGGAAAGAACTGCGCCATGAACTGCAACAAACAAAACTGATTAAGAATTACATGGAATGCAGTTCCAGCGAATTAACTATAATAACTTTAAATAAGCTTGGGGTGGCTAACCCCAACATTTCTAATGCCCTGTTTATCGATTTCCATGTCTTGAAATATTACCAATCCCCACACAGACAATACGGTCTCTCTCTCAATGAGTCTGTGGTATTATTGT